TATAGTTGATATGTAATTACTTATATAAATTAATCAATAAAGATATGAGCAAGGCCTCACCTTAATATCAAAAAAAATATATATATATAATAGACTCCATTTCCTAATGCCTATAAATTAACAAGTTCAATTTCTGATACTTTTATTTTTTATATATTTATCTTTATGGTAGCTTTTAGAAGTTTTATTTAGCTTACTGTAAAATTAGCACTGCTGATCAAGTTGGATGCTGGTACCATCATTGTATTATTGAAATTGTGGTTAAGAAAAATAAATTTTTATTTAAATTGAATTTATATATGCCCATAATACAGCAATTTATCCAATAAATTGTTAAATCTTTTCATAATCGTCTACTGTGAAGCAAATTGCCAATATTCGCACATTATTTTAATGAATTGTTAAAATTGATTATTTATGTGTTAAATCATACAATATTTCTTTGCTATTCTGTAATTAAAATCTATTCTAAAATTATAAGCTGGAAAATTCCTAATCCCATGAATTAACATATTCGGCCACCTCATCATCATAATATGTGTCTTCATCATAGTCTTTATTATGATTATTTTCATCTTCATCTTCACTCAGACTATCACCATCATCTTTACTATTATTGTCGTCACTATCACCATTTTCATCGCCATCATCTTCATCACCGTAATCATCAACATTACTGCCACCATTATCATTATTGTTATTATCGTTTTGGGTCAAGTCAACAATACTTTCATCATCACTTGCACTATCCTCATTAGCATATATAAATTCATTATTTCTATTATAAGCTTCTGGGTTATTAACCCAGTCATTATTAAACATTAAATCTTCCTCGGTTCCATCTTGAGCAGTGGAGATACTGCAACACTTGAATGAATGTTTTATAAGGGCAGATCAACTTGGTTCCATGATTTTATTACCTATTCAGCCACCAAATTATAAGCAGGTCATTGGATATGGCCTGTACAAGTCAGTTTTTTAATCTCTTCACTCATCCAATCGAGATAGAATTTGTGATACTTAAATAAATATATAATTAAAAACTTATAAAATGATAGTTATGCAAGTACTGTACGAAAATATTATTTTTATCCACCTTCAAAAAATTAACATTTTAACTCATGAGATATTAAGGTATAAAATTTAGTTAAAAAATAAAAAAAAAATATACGAAATCAAGTTCATATAGAATCTTATTACATAATTCATTAATTAGGTAATAATTTCATAATCATATATAATTTTTTTTAGAAAATAAAGCCATGAAATATATATAAGAATGAGTTTTGAATAAAACAAACCTAAATTTTAAAATTTTATAATAATTCAGTAAAAAAAAGCGTTATGAGCTCTTGGAAATTTTTCTTTCAAACCCATTAGTATACAAAGTTTTTTTTTTAAAAAATAAAAATTATTTATTTACCTTATCTTTAAAGGACTTATTAATATATATGTCTAATAGTTGCAATTTCTTAGTAAGTCCTTCTGGAATGACTGCCATGTTAGTGTTTTTCTTATTAAATCGGTTTTTAACCAAGTCTGTAAGATGACTACTAAATGCATCTAGAACTAATAATGAACGAGGATTGATAGACAAAGAAGCTCGACGGTTCCATATATTTTTAATCCAAATAATTATTTCATCACCATTCATATATCCACTTGGATTTGCTCGTACAACAATGCCCCGTGAAAATGCCTGTCGTGGTACATTTACTAATTTAAAAAGTATCATGGAGGAAGCTTGGTTCCATCTGCTAAGCAACTTAAAACAACTGTAAAATTTGACTTTTCATAACCAGTTGTACGGATACCAACAGTATGAGCACCAGTTTCTTCAAGCATATAATTGCTAGGCATATCGAATGCTAATGGAGTTTCATTCATATTACTAATAAGTGCAAGAGGATAATTGTAGCACATGCAATGATATAATATGTTACTCAAAAATTCATCTCTTTTAGGTTCTAAGTCTTCTGGTAACCTTTGTGCTATAGTAGTACAGCGGTGATTGCTAAAATTATTATGACGCATAAAACTATCAACCCACTTGTTACTCCACTTGCATTCATTAATCGTTGGATAAAGTAAAAGAAAACGTGATTGCTTTGCAAGTTGATTAGACTTAGTTTTAACCATATAACAAGATACGATCTTTTGTCATGAACGTAAAGATTTAACCCAGGTTTTAAGATCATCTTCTAAAAGTGGATACTTAGATCGTCCACCAATATTTAACTGTTTAACAGCGGGTGGTGCACTTTTTAATTCAGTTTTTTTTTTATCCATTCTCGTAGTTGTTTTGGAGTTATATTGAACCTTTCTGCAGTGTTTCATTTAGTAGCTGTGGGATTTCTTTCAAGGTACGTAACAATTGCCAATTTTTCATGAGCATTCCAACTTCTCTTTTTTTTTTTTAGTGATGTTTGCTTGTTTTAAACCTGTTTTACTACGTCCCATTTTTAACTCTTAAATATATATTAATAACTATTTTATTTTCACATTAATACTTTCACTTTAATTTAATAAAATTTATCTGCTA